CCCCCCCTGGACCGTCGCGCCTTCCCTTCCCCCGTCCCCCCATGACCAATGACCACACGGACTGACATTTTTGTTCCCCCCAACAACAGCCTCTGCAAGCCCAGACCATCCGCATGATTCGCGGCGTCAAGCTGTACGCCGACTCGCACGACCAGGGCTACGTGAGCAACCTGGTGGAGGGCAACTGGACCTGGTTCCAGCTGGCCATCTTTAAGTGCGAGTCGGACACGACGCCCAAGAAGGACAGCCACGGACAGGAGATGGTCATGACGAGCCACTCGAACAAGGTCAACTCGCGCGAGTTTGAGTGGATGGAGGGCGGCGCGGTGACGATGCGGCGCATCTTTCTTAAAGGCCTCGAGGTAAGGAGACGAAGAGAAGAAGAAGAAGAGGAAGAAGAAGAAAAGAAGAGAAGAAGAAGAAGAAGAAGATCTGTTACTGACAATCAACAATAGGAGGGCAATGTCATTGCTGTCCGGGTTTGCGCCTGCTACCCCGGCTGGAAGATTTTTGCGACCAACGGACACCTAGTGATTGACATTGGCGAGGACAACCGTGAGTGAAGATATGAGACGATGAGTGAGGTCTGAATACTGACAACCCGCCAGAACCGTATCCCATCACACCCATCAACATCAACGTTGACCACCAGATGCCCGTGCGTCGCAACGTCAAGACGTGGTACGACGAGTCTAAGACCAACCACCACACCGGCCTGGAGGTGTCGCTGTTTATCCGCGCGCTCAAGGTGTTCCAGAGGCTGCCGCCGGAGAACCAGCTGTCGTTCTACCGCATCGCCGGCATCCACGGATATCCGTACCAGGTGCCGTGGAACATGGGCAAGCCGGTGATTCCCCTGGACAATCCGAAGCGGGACGAGCTGCAGAAGGAGGGCGAGGGCGGCTGGTACTGCCAGCACAACAACGACCTGTTCCCGACCTGGCATCGTGTGTACATGATGCTGTACGAGGTACGTGGCTTTTTTTTTCCTTTTTTCTTTTTGCAAATTTCTGCTAATATCCGCGTAGAAACGCCTCAGTGAAATCATGATGGAGCTGGCCGAGGAGCTCGACGGTAGTGATGATGACAGCGGCAGTGACAGCGGCAGCGACAGCGGCAGCGACAGCAACCAGAACAAGCTGTGGACGCTGGCGGCGACGCGCTGGCGTCTGCCCTACTGGGACTGGGCCGCGGACTCGACCCTTCCCGAGCTCGCCAGCTTCAAGACCATCTCCGTCATCAAGAGCTGGGACGGCAGCGGCAAGCCGCAGATGGAAAACTTGGACAACAGCATGTATCGCTTCCAGATGCCGGGCGGCAAGCCCATGGGCGACAAGTCGTACGGCAACTACCGCATCGACAACAGGGAAGCGGAAAAGGTATGGCCCTCCAATTTTTCTTTTCTGTGCCTCATTCGGGGGTGATGGCGGCTAACAAGTACACCACCAGTGGCAAGACTGCATCGGTACCAGTCGCCACTTCATCAAGGACAAGGAGCCGGTCGAGGTTTGGACCCAGGGAGAGACCAACGTCGCCGACGTCAACGCGGCGCTGATAGAGCATGACGGTCTCAAGTATACGCTCAGGGACTCGGTCTTTCGGCTCTTGACGGAGCAGTACAGCACAAAGTATATCCGCTTCGCGTCGACCAAGTACGACCCGGACAAGTCTTCGAAGTCGGCTGAGCCGGCCCGAGAATACCTGAACCTGGAGCAGATTCACAATTTCATCCACGTGAGTTCTTTTTTCCTCTTGTGACAGACACTCCCTCCCCCTTCCTCTCCCTCTCCCTCCCTTCCTCTCCCTCTCCCTCCCTTCCTCTGACCAGTCTTGCCACTGACCACTGACCCTCTCTCGGATTGTGTAGGGTGCCGTGGGCGGCGACAGCGAGGGCCCCGGCGGATACGGCCAGATGGCCTCGGTGGCCGTGGCCGCCTTTGACCCCATCTTCTGGATGCACCACTGCAACATTGACCGGCTGCTGCACCTCTGGCAGTGCTCCAACCCGGGCAACTGGTTCCGGCAGGAGCCGGGGCAGCCGCCGGCCGGGCAGCCGATACCCGATCACATGAAGCCCCCCGGCGCGCCCAAGCCGAAGCCGGTGAACCTGAGCCCGCAGGATCCGCTCAAGCCGTTCCACGTCTCGGGTGACATGGACGACTTTTACAACTCGAACCAGGTGCGTAACGTCGAGGCGCTCAACTACACGTACGACTACGTGGACCAGATCACCGACGGGTACGGCGACATCATCCCGGAGAAGAGCCACTTGTACATCAACAAGCTGTACGGACCGCCGCAGACGGCCTTTGCGACGCCAGTCAAGCAGATGGACCCCGTCATCAACGTGGTGTACAACCGGTACGTCCTCGGACACGTGCCACCGGGCTGTCCGTCCGTCTCCTACTAACACATGTCCAGATATGCATTTAGCGGCCGCGCCTACTCGCTGCTCTTCTTCCTCGGCGACCTGGACCGCAGCCAGCCGTACAAGAGGCAGGCGACGCTTGTGGGCAGCGTCTTCACCTTTAGCACGACGATGCGCGCGGGCGAGGTGACGTGCCGCAGCTGCTACGCGCAGAAGGAGGCGCACGTGCTGTCGCGCGCGCAGATCCCGCTGACCACGGTGGTGCCGAGCGAGCGCCGCCCGGACCGCTCGACCTGCCGCGACTACATCTCGAACAAGATACGCTGGACGGCCATCTTCGAGGACGGCACGACGGCGGCCAAGGCCGGCCTGAGCGACGTCAAGATCACGCTGGCGATTGGTGTGAATGAGCTGCTCCAGGACGCGGGCAGGGAGTCCGTCTTCAAGTTTGAGGCCTACAAGGACCTGACCATTGACTGGGAGAAGGCCTATGTCCAGTAGAAGGATTCTTTGGGGATGAGGGGCCTGTCGTTGGGATAGGCGATGTATTGGACAGACTGAAATACGAAATTGTTAACGGCCGAGTCTTGATGAAATATGAAATCAGTTGTGCAAGGCGCCTACAAGCACGTCACAGTGATCAGGGCTAGACTGTAACTGTAGGCCAGGGAGACTAACGATAAGCTGACAGCTGTCATGCTATAACTATTGTCATTATAAACAGCTGTCTGCCTTGGTATACTTCCCCGCCCAGTGACAGCCGAGGGGGGGCCGGCCAGCTTCCCCGCGTTGACTGGTGGCCTCGGTATCCATACCGGCCCGTATAGCCGTCGGCATGCTCCTCCACAAATGCTGTCGCTTCATACTTGTACTTGTACAAAGCCCCCTCCCTGCGTATGCTAAAGAGAGATTTCTATTTTCTCTCTCTCTTTTTTTTTTTTTTTAGAATATTCATTGTTCATTACGTCCGTCCCGCCTACCCATGGCTGAGAAAGGACCGACCCCGGCCACGGCCGACACGGGCTTCATCTTTTCCATGGCACCGCCCGAAAACCCGTTTCTCGCCGACACGTATTTCCAGCGCGTCCTCGCGGGTAAGCATAGAAAAGAAATATGACGAAAAAAAAGCCTACATTAAATTCAGTATTAATCATTTATTCTGCAGCCTACCTCCTAAAAGACATCCTTGCCGAGCTGACACCCGCGCTGACCAAGTTTGGCGACGACGCCATCTCGCCGTAGGTCTAGGAATGGAACCTTAACGCGGAGAGGCAGCAGCCGTTTGTGGAAAAGCATAACGTCTGGGGGGCGTGGCATCCAGTGGACAGGCTGGTCACGAGCGAAGGCTGGAAAGCCCTGCGTAAATGGGGAGCAGAAGAAGGGTAACCTACCTTATCGAGGAGCTTGTATTAGAGGTCCGTCCTCACTAACACGGTGACAGGATTGTCGCGATTGGATATGAGACGGAGTATGGTATTTATAGGCGGATCGTTCAGTATGCTAAGTACATCCCCCTCTTCCTAGCTTGGTCCGGTGTGTGTATTGAGCTGACACCCGCAGAAACTACCTCTTCTCGCCCGTGTCTGGGCTGACCGGCTGTCCCCTCTCCATGACCGACGGCACCGCCCGTCTCCGCTCCCCGGCTTGCCGGCCGAGCACCCGTTCCACGAGACTTACCGGCGGCTCACGGCGCGCACCGGCAGCTGGACGTCGGGCCAGTGGATGACGGAGCGGACAGGCGGCAGCGACGTGCAAGGCACCGAGACCTGAACCTGGATATCACGACTGGGGTCGCGATGCCTTGCTTTGTAACGGCGCAACGAGGTCCGGATCTACTTTAGTGAATTTCTATCCGAACGTTAGTAAAATAATATAACGTACTCTATAACTTATGCTCTTATACTCGGGAGAGAAATTAAATATAAAAACCTAGGCGTGTGTTAGTCTCGGCTAGACACATCTAAGATGCCGCGTCTAGTACTACTAAGTACTAAGTTCTGACGCGTAATGCGATCCTCTAGTAGAGTACTTCTATAAGACGCCCATTTTATAAGTAGGTACTTATTAGTGATACTAATCCTATAAGAACGCTAGCGTAGCGCTTTTTAGGTGCTCTACTACTTTAACACTAAGGTAATATAAAAAATACAATTAAAATATCACTAGAATACTCACGCCTTTGTTTTTATTTTTAATAGGCTATTAAATTCTATTTAGAGTTCCGTCTAGTACTTATTAAGACACTCCTACACTAGGGGCGCTAGATCTAGAAAATCTATACTAATTGTGACTATAATCTTTTCTAGTAATACACGTCTATTTTCTAAGTATAATAAGGTTATGTTTTTATAAAGAGGGTATTTTCCTTCTTTACTACTAGTAGTAAAATAGCTATATATATTATTATCTATTATACCTCTAAGACTTTAGTAGTAAATATAGTTATAAAATTATATTAGGAATTTCTATTCCTTCTTTTTAAGAGAAAGATTCTATACTATTATTTCTTTTTATACTTACTATAAATAATTTTATTATAGACTTCCCTAAGAATAAATTTAATATTATATTCACTTTACTAAAGTTAGTTATAAATAAATTAATAAAATAAGCCACTTACTTATACTTATATATAATAGCTATTAAAAGACTTTTATAAAATAAGTTAAAGACTTTTTCTTTAGATTCTAAAAGAGATATAATTATAGTCTTCTTATATTTATATCTAGACTATACTTAATATAAGTAGTATCTATAAGTTACTAAGCTATAGTTAGGGTTTTAATAGAAGAATATAGGTTCTTCTTTAAAATTAAAGTACTACTCAAAATATAATAGTAGTTTAATCTTAATCTATAGTTAGTTTATTTCTTAAGTAGAGAGTTAGTTTAAATATATAAGTATATATAAGTAGTTATTATAGTATAAGTTATATTAAAAGATATCTCCTAATAGTAAAGCTATTATTTAGATTAATTAGTAAAGATTTAGATTACTTAACTATAAGAATACTTCCTCTTTAAGTACTTATTTATCTCTCTATTATAACTCTAGATTAGAAGGCTTAACCTTTAATCCCTTAAATCCTATTCTTAGATTAATAGTTTAATAGCTTAAGTCCTTAATCCTAAGGAGATTATATAATCTCTTATCCTTTTTAGTAGTTAGTATAATAAGCCTTTACCTTACTTTACTTAGCCCTACCTATATATCTTATAGTATTTATAATATAATACTCCTCCTCTAGTGGTTTTATCCTTAAGGCTATTAAAGTAGACTACCTAAGTAGTAAGTAGTTTTCTCTTTTATATTATTATAGTCTATTATATTTACTAATTATATTATTAAGTAGAGATTAAAACTATATTCTTAAAAGTCTAAATAGTATAAGGCTTTATTATATTCTATTCTTTTTAATCCTTAGACTATAGAAAAGAGTCTTTATTCTTATTACTAAAAGAAGGGTATTACTTTTTACTAACTATTATTTTCTAATTCTTCTTACTATACTTAGTATATAATAGATTATTAATCCTACTATAATATATAGAGTATTTTACTAGCCTAGCTTTATTAAATAGTTAATTACTATATATATTTTAAGTAAGAGCTTAAAATAACTAAGGAGGAATATTATATAATAGACACTAATAAGATTAAGTATCTTTAAAAATAAAAGAAATTATAGTTTAAGAAAATAATATATACTATTATATAGAGTATTAATAATATTAAGGAGTTAGAGTATATAGAATAGGAGGAAGTAGAATAGTTTTAAAAGACTATAAGTGCTTTTTTTACTCTATTTAAGGAGTTAGACTCTTCTTTAGTTTATTCCTTTAAGACTAAATTTAGTATAGAGTCCTTTAATAGTCCTTATAGGATTAATTAGACTACTTTTCTTTAGAGTGAAACTAATTAAGTAGTTTTAAATAATTAAATAGATTCTTAAGTAGTTCTTATATATTTTTAGAGTTTAAGTATTCTTTCTATTTAATAAGATAATAATAATTCTTTTTAGTTCTTTATACTTTAAGTATCTTCTTTACTTTATATTTATTTATATCTTTAATAGTAATATTTATAATAAGTATTATATTACTTAGTACTTTCTCTAGTAATAATATATAAAATATAGAATATATTTTTATCCCTCTTAATAATAATAGTTTATAGTTAACTTTTAATAGTTTCTATTTAATAAAGAATAGTCTAATTTTCTTCTAATTAAGTTTATTATTAGGTTATTTTATTTTAATATTTTTATAAATAAGGTAAACTTTATCTCCCTTCTTTAGGGTTAGTACTAGTAATCTCTTTTTATTTATATAGTGTTTTATTTAATTCTATAAAAATATCTATTCTATTTATAAGTGTTT